AGTATTCTGTCTGCACATACATGTGTGCCCGGTGCCTGAGAAGGTCAGAAGAAAGCATTGGATCCCCTGGAACTGGAGTTACAGGTGTTTGTGAGCTGTCGTGTGGATGCTGGGAACTGAACCTGGTCCTCTGGAAGAGCAGCCAGTGCTCTTAACTGCCGAGTCCTCTCTCCAGCCCTCATCCTATTTTTTTAAGACAGAGTCTGTGAGTGAGCCTGGAACTCATCTGTTCTAGTCAGCAAGAGGGTTTACCATGGAGGCTGGAGAGATGGCTCAGAGGTTAAGAGTTCATATGCCCTTGCCGAGGATCTGAGTTCAGTTCCCAGCACCCACGATGTCTAGCTCATAACTACCTCTAACTCCTCTAGAGGATCTGACACTCTTGTGGACCCCAGGGGCACTTTTACACACAGTCACTTGCATATATACATGTAATTAAAAATAAAAAGAAAATCTTAAAAATAAATAGACAACAATAAACTTTAAAAAAGAAAAACTTTACCATGAATGGATTTGGCTTCTGTCAAATGTTTTTTTTCTGTACTTTATTTATTTATTTATTTATTTATTTATTTATTTATTTATTTATTTATTTATTTAATTGGTTTTTCAAGACAGAGTTTCTCTTTGTTACAGCTCTGGCTGTCCTGGAACTCATGCTGTAGACCAGGCTGGCCTCAGACTCACAGAGATCCACCTGCGTCTGCTTCCCGAGTGCCGGGATTAAAGGTGTGCGCCACCACTGCCTGGCAACTTTTTTTTTTTGGTTTTTCTTGACACAGGGTTTCTCTCTGTAGCTTTGTGCCTTTCCTGGAACTCACTCTGTAGCCCAGGCTAGCCTCGAGGTGGAGGTCTTAGTATGTTGTTGAGGCTGCTGTGGAGCTCCTGGTCTCAAACATTCTTCCTGTTTCCGCTTCCCAAGTAGCTGGGATTGTAGGCATGCACTGCTGCACAGAGCGTCTGTGTCTGCTGACACAATGGGGTTTTGTTTTTGTCTTGAGCCTGTGTGTGTGTGTGTGTGTGTGTGTGTGTGTGTGTGTGTGTGTGTGATTTGTTTTATGAGCATTGGTGTGAAGGTGTCAGATCCCTTGGAACTGGAGTTACAGACAGTTGTGAGCTGCCATGTGGGTGCTGGGAACTGAACCACTTTTTAAACTACTGAGCCATCTCTCCAGCCCCCAACCATTGTTCTTTGTTTGTTTGTTTGTTTGTTTTTCGAGACAAAGTTTCTCTGTGTAACAGCCCTGGCTGCCCTGGAACTGCTCTGTAGACCAGGTTGAGCTTGAACTCACAGAGATCCCCTGCCTCTGCCTTCTAAGTGCTGGGATTGAAGGAGTGTGACACCATTGCCTGGCTGTGTGTGAATTTGGAAAAAATTTTTCAACTAGTTTAAGAGGTAGCAGGTTTCCTTAGGCTCTTCGTACTTCCTTGGTGTGGCTGACCGCCCCACTTCTCACCCCCACATCTCTGCTCCCTTCCCCACCTGCGCGTTTCCACTCTCAACACTCCCCATTCGTCTTCCACATCACACGTTCTTCTGTAGCCCACACACCTTAAACTCCCCGTCACAGTCCTATTCCAGCTTTCTGTCCCCTACACATAGTCCCTCCCACATAAAGGCGCACACATAAAAATTAGACGCTGGGATCTGCATGAGAGAGAATATTCAGAGTTTGTCTTTCTGAGCCTGGCCACTCAGTGTGACATTTTCCAGTTTCATCCATTTCTCTGCAACTTTCCATTTCCATCTTTATGGCTGAATAAAATTCATACACACACACACACACACACACACACACACACACACACACACATTCTTAGTTAGGGTTTCTATTGCTCTTATAAAACACCATAACTAAAAGCAACTAAGGGGGCAAGGGGCTTATTCTGTCTTACAACTCTTAAGTTACACTTTGTCACGAAGGAAAGTCAGGGCAAGAATCTGGAGGCTGGAACTGAAGCGGAAACCACAGAAGAGTGCTGCTTACTGGTGTGCTCGGCCTGTTTCCTTATACAACTCAGGCCACCTGAGTGGCACTGCCCATAAGTGGCGGGATCCTCCCACCTTAACCCCCATTAATCAAGAAAATGCCATACAGATTTGCCTACGGGCCAATCTGGAGCCATTTTCTTAATGGAAGTTCCTCTTTCCAGCTAACTTTAGCTTGTGTCAAGTTGGAAAAAAAATAAGACCCAACCAGGATATATATATATATATATATATATATATATATATAACATATTTGTATTATCCATTCACCAACTGATGGACATCTCTGCTGAGTCCATATCCTAACTATTGTGAATAGAACAGCATGGATGCGCAAGTGTCTCTGTGGTAGGATACGGAGTTCTTTGGGTGTATGCCCAGGAACAGAATAGCTAGGCCACAGAGGTAGTTCTAGTTTTAGCATTCTGAGAAACCTCCACGAGGATTTCCATGGTAGTTACAGCAGTTCACATTCACACCAGCAGCGAAGGAAGGTCCCCTTTGCTCCAACCTGGTCAGCACTGTTGTCTTGTTGCTAGTCATTGTGACTGGGGTGACACAGAACCTCAATGTAGTTTTAGTTGGCATTTCCTTGCTGGTTAAGGATGTTGAGCCATTTTAAAAACATTCATTGGTCATTTGGTTTTTTTTGGTTTTTTTTTTTTTTGAGAATTGGTTCTTCAATCAGGGATTTCAATATTTAGGTTTTTTTTTTTAAAGTATTCATTTGTATGTTTCTGTGTGAGTATACAGGTACACACCTGTGAGTATACAGGTATACACCTGTTTGAGTGCACAGGTACACACCTGTGTGAGTGTACAGGTACACATCTGTGTGAGTATACAGGTACACACCTGCGTGCATTCAGGAAAGTCAGAAGAGGGCACTGGGGGTCCTCCTCTGTCACTCTCTGCCTATTCCTTTGAGGCAGGGTCTCTCCCTGATCCTGGGACTCACATCTCAGGTAGGCTGGGAGCCACCAAGTCCCAGTGGTTCCCCTGTCTCTGCCCCCTCTGAGCTCGGGTTACAGGCTTTTGTGGCGGAGCCTGGCTTTTGATGCGGATATCATGATTTCGGAGCAAGGGCTGTGAACTGCCGAGTCAGCGTTCTGGCTCTTTGGTTTTGTTTTCTTTGAGTTCAGTATACGTTCTCCACATTAATCTGTGACAGCTATATAGTTGGCAAAGGTTGTCTCCTGTTCTCTGTATCCATCAGCTACTTCGTTGGCTGAACAGAGCTTTTTAATTTCATGAGCTCTTACTTGTTGACTGTTGGCCTTATTTCCAGAGTGACTGACTAGGTTCTCTTCAGCGAGTCAGCACCTATGCCTGTGTCTTTGAGTGTTTTTTCTTCCTTTTCCTCAGTTTCTGACTTGTAGGTCTTATGTGAAGGTCTTCTTTTTTTTATTTTTTATTTTTTTAAAAAGATTTATTTATTTATTATGTCTACAGTGTCCTGTCTGCACATATCCCTGCAAGCCAGAAGAGGGCACCAGATCTCATTACAGATGGTTGTGAGCCACCATGTGGTTGCTGGGAATTGAACTCAGGACCTTTGGAAGAACAAGCAGTGCTCTTAACCTCTGAGCCACCTCTCCAGCCCCATGTGAAGGTCTTTAATCCAGAGTTTTTTTTTTTAAAATTGGGCAAGTGAAAGGTAAGTATCTAGTTTGACTCTTCTACGTATAAATATCCAGTTTCTCCAGCACCACCTTTAAAGGTGCTGCTGTCTTTCTTCGGTGTGTGTTTGTCAAAAATCAAGCACCTGTAGCTGAGTGGGTTAATATCTGGGCTTTAGTCGATTCCGTTGATATATGTGTCTAATTTTGTGCCAGTATCATGATGTTTTTATTTGTTTGTTTTTTGGTTTTTCAAGACAAGGTTTCTCTATGTAGACCTGGCTGTCCTGGAACTCACTCTATAGACCAGGTTGGCTTCAAACTCACAGAGATCCACCTGCCTCTGCCTCCCAAGTGCTGGGATTAAAGGCGTGCGCCACCACCGCCTGGCTCTTTTTTTTTTTTTTTTTTTTTTTTTTTGATTTTTGAGAAAAGATCTCATTGTGTATTCCTAGAAGGCCTGGAACTTGCTTTGTAAACCAGGTTTGGGCTGTCATGCCTATAGTCTAAATAACACCGTATTTTATGTTTGTCTCACCCACCACCAGTATCTAAAAGCCCCAAAGGATGTAAGTTATTTATTCTTCCAAGTGCCTCTGCCAGTGCCTGGCACCTAGTAGCAACTGTGGCATGGATATCGACATGGATGGGCTTTTCTGTGTGTCTTCCAGAGTGCTGGCATTTGCCTGGCTTCTGAAAACTGGGCATGGTGTTTTATGCTTGTAACCCCAGCTCTTGGGAGGTGACACGGAAGGATCATGGCAAGGCGTCCAGGCCCGATTGGGCTACAGAGTGAGAACCTGTCTCATAAAACAAAAATTAGGCATGGCAGCACCTGCCTGTAACCCCAGTTTGTAATCCCACATTTGGGAGCCTGCCACAGGACGGCTGTTATGCATTTGAGTCCCGCTTGGGCTACAGAGCAAGAGCTAGGCTCCCCAAGAAACAAGCGATAAACAGAGTTAGGAATTCAGTGGTAGTGGTTAGTTCAGTCCCTAGCAGCAGAAACAAAACAAAATAAAACTCTCACTTTGCTGAGAGTTCTGTGTTAACACAGCACTCTGAGGCATCATGCAGTGTATGATTAAATAATAAATGCTGACAGTCACCCTCATCTCTCTAGCAGTAACTGAGCGTCTAAGGCGTTGCTCGCTATCCTAACACTTGGTGAGGGCTCACTGGGGCCAGGAACTAGCATGCGCCACCACACTCACCTAGTTTGAATTCCTAAACATGCTCCTTTAAGACACAAAGCTAGCCAAAGCTCCTAGTGTAGGTGGGCCCTTATTCCCAGTTACTTGGAAGGCTGAGGCCAGAGGATCACAATTTCAAGGCCCAACTTAATGAGAGTCTGTGTCAAATTTAAAAGTATATAAAACGCTTACACTTACCCGGTGAGTGTGAGACCCTAGGTTTAATCTCCAGCACTGCAAATACAAACAATAAAAATACAGCAGTCCTGTGAGGTGGTTCTATCATTACCACCCCTTCTATCCTCCAATTATTATTATTATTATTTTTAGGAACTGCTACCTAGCAAGGGACTGGTCCCTAAGGAGGCTATCGCTGAAGGGCACGGCTCTGCCTGCCGGCGGCTCTGATGTAGCGCCCCCTCCTGGCCGTTGCTCTGGGTGGCTGAGGTTGGTGACGAGGTTGCTCGCGTCCGAAACACCAGGGGGCGCAAGCAATTCAGCTTTGGGGAACAGGGTGAGGCTGCCAGCCCCGAGGAGCCCGCCTGAGCCCGGGAGTGGCGTCAGAATGGGCGTCCTCCAATCCAGACGAGTAAACTCGTCCTCCCTGCCCTGCAACTCTGATGGACAAGGGAATATAACCTACCGAGTGAGTAGCTGCTGTGTGCTGGGCAGAAAACCCCCACGGGAAAGAGTGCAAGCTACCCTTACTCATGCCACGATAAGCTAGCCCAGGTTGTCACTTACCAGGGTCCCACAGAGAATGAGAACACTGTTGCTCTTAATGTCCCTTTTGGTCCAAATTCCTTTTGCCCTCCCTTGCTGTATACAGTATAGCTATGGATTGGCCATGCAAACCAAGATCCCTCTCCCTTCTGTCTGTAAAGTATTTGCCCTTTCTTAAATCTCTAAGCCAGTGGTTCTCAACCTTTCTAATGCTGCTACCCTTTAGTAGCGCATGTGGTGGTGACCCCCACCATAAAACTACTTTTGTTGCTACTTCATGACTGCAGCATGGCTACTGTTCTGAATCGTAATGTAAAGCTTTTGGAGACAGAGGTTTGGCGAGGGGGTTGAGAACAACCTCTAAGTCCTCTGCTCCTGCTCTCCTTCCTCTTAAGACTCTTGGACAGCCCCCACCCCGACCTATCTGAGACACCTACTACATCTTGCCCTGTGTTACTTTGAGATGTCACTTCTGTGAGACTAACATCCCACTACTAAAATGTAAATTGTAGCTCTTAGCACTCACTTACTAACCACGTGCTAAATAATCGAGAGGCAGACACAAAGTGGTGTGTGTGTGTGTGTTTCTAGATCTAGCTCAGGGCTACACAAGAGCCAGTAACAACACACACCTGGGGTTCATCTGTATTTATTTACTCTAGACAGTATCTTGCTGTGTTGCCCAGGCTGACCTTCAACTTGGGATCACAGACATATTCCAGCACACCAACAAATCCCTACTGGATATGCGAATGAGGATTCACTAATGTCCCATTTCTATTTTGTTCTGTGTCCTGTATGTCTACAGTCTGCTGGGATTGCCCACTCCCAGAAAGCAAGAGTGAGGAATGTGGACTGGGGTGGGTGCTGGGGGAACGTGAGGAGGCCAGGGGCAGGGAGCAGAGTTTTCCCATGGTGAGAAGAAGGCCCACATAGAGAATGAGGGAGGGAGAGATGCCAAGATCTGAGTTAGAGCAGAAGGAAGCTGAGCCCTGAATGGGAGCCTTGTGTGTGGCCCTGCGGTGCTGACTCACCAGGCCGAGGAGAGCGAAAACATGCTAGGGATGAAGAAGGGGCCTGTGTGTGCCCTGCCACCACCTCCAAACCACCGTGCCACCCCAGATCAGGGGCTTCCTGAGGACACCATCTGCTCTGAGGTACAAACAGTCCTGGAAGGCTGTGATAGAGACAGGACAGACAGGGGAGAGGGAGGGAGCACACAGCGGTGTTAGGAGATGGGGGCCAATGGAAAAGGCTGTGTGAGGGAAAGCTTCAGACCGGGGTCAGAGGGAGAACGGGGGGGGGGGGGGGCGGGGGGGGGGGGAGCGGGCAGGAGATGTCCCTTCCTTCCGCACAGGGAGGTGTGGCAAGTCAGAGACTGAGCAGGGAGGGGACAGATGCTTATAGTCTCTGTGGAGGAGCAAGCCTGCCTTCTGAGTAAGTACTTCCCAGGGCTGAGGCCAGAGAGGCCCAGCCTGGGAGCAAAAGCCGTACCATGCTTCTCATTCCTACCCTCCCTTGGCTGTCAAACCTGTTCAGAGACACGAGGACAGGATTCTTGTGGCAATCTGGGTGGTGGGCAGCCTGAGGCTGAGGCAGACCTGGTAAGCAAGATCAAAGCCAAGCACTGTGGAGAAGCAGGCGAGAGGAGAGACGAGGTCCTTAGGGAGTAGCTAGAGCCAGGCTGGGGAACTGATGGTCCCAGGTCAGCCCAGAGCTGAGGCAGAAGTGGGGGTGAGGGTGGGGACTGCAGACTGTGTGGGCTCTGCCATGGACTGGCTGTGTGCACCTGACCTTTCTAGGACTCATTCCCATTTTTAATACAAGAGACCTACAACAGAGGTTCCTAAGTCTCTCTCATGATTCCATTGAGTGGACAAATTGCCCTTGTCTTTCTCCTCATTAAAACCCAGTTTTCTTGTGTCCTGTCCTCAGCTGAAGAGCTTACAAGAAAAAGAGCCATGAACTCAGACTTCAGAACATGACTGACAACTAGCAATGTCCTAACTCCCCACATACATTGCTGATTCTGCTTGTTTTTTGGTGCTGGGGATTTACTATCCCAGGGATTTCTTAAAGCTGAATGTGTTCTATCTTCGAGTTTCAGCCCTCTGACCTCTTTGGAAATGGTGGTGTGGCCAGTGGAAGGAAGGTAGCCTTGAAAATCAAATGGATATGGGTTTGCATCCCAGCTGTAGGGATACGGATGCAGCTCAGTGGCGGAACGAGCACCTAGCATGTTGACCCCTAGCACCACCCAAGCACAACACAGCACTTAGTACGCAATGGTTAGTAGCATTTCTCAACCAGGAGTAATTCCACCCCCACCCCCCACCGCCAAGACCCTGACTTGCAGCTGTGACTTCCCATCTCAGCCTGGCTCTGCTGTAGGACCTCTGGGCAATTAATTTGCTTCTTGGTTACTCTATCTGTTAGGTTGGGTGATCACTTTCATTAGCTACATAGATTAAAGGAAGTAACATAGTTGGCTACTGGACAAACATTCTCAAAACTATGTTCCCTCCCTGACAGGGCTTAATCAGGACCAGAAGGAAGATTGTGGGCTTGGCTAGAGATTAGCTGAGATTAGCTGGTTGGAGGCTAACCGCATCCAGGAAGTGGAAAGGGAAGTGGAGCAGGGTGGCTAGAGGGAGAAACGGAGGTGCTCTGTAATGTACCAGAAAGGCCACAGCCTCGTGTGTCTTCCACGGTTGCAGTTTATTGGCTTTTGAACGTGCACTAAGTATAGACTCCAGCGCCTCATAGATGCTAGGCCAAGCACTTTACCACTGAGCTATGCCCCCAATCCCTCACGTGGCTTTAAAGCTAGAACAACCCTTCCGAGTTCTCCCTATTTGGGACCAGGAGACAATAGTAAATGTGAGGCAGCACAGCTGTGACCCCATCACTTGGGGAGCTGAAGCAGGGAGATGGCTAGTTTGAGTAGAGTATGCATGTGTATACGGTATGAATGTACAGAGATTACACACACACACAGAGTCTTTGGAATGACTTGGGTGTAAGAGAAATGACCTTGGTCATTTTGTTTTGTTTTGTTTTCCTTCCCTAGTAAATGCAGCTCCTGAGGGGCAACAGCCAAGCCAACATTCCCTGTACTTAGGCACCTGGGTAGGATATTACACTTATTCGTCACATCGAGTTAGTACAGCTCCAAGCCCAGCCTGCCAGACTCAGTAGGTGACTCCCCAGGGTGAGGCCTATCTTTAACATTTCAAGGGGCTGCTGAGCTAGCTCAGCAGTTAAGCATGCTCGCCACTCTTGCAGGGGACCTGAGTGCTGCACTCACATCAGGTGGCTCACAATGACCTGTATCTCCAGCTCCAGGGGACCTAACTCCCTCTATGGGCACCCTCACAGCTGTGACATGCACATCAAACAAAAATAAAAATCTTTAAAAATTTTCCCGGGATGGTGGTGGCACACATCTTTAACCCCAGCACTCGGCAGAGACAGGTGGATCTCTGAGTTCCAGGCCAATCTCGTCTACAGAGTGAGTTCCAGGACAGCCGGGGCTACACAGAGAAATCTTGTCTCAAAAAACAAGAAAACAAAAATTCACTTATTTCTCGTGGTGAGACGTTTCACAGGGATGGGGAGGAGCCGCAGACCTTCCCGACCCTTCCAGTCTCATAGATGTGGACAGTGGCACAGAAGGGCAGGCTTCACTTTTCTATCTTCCGAGCCACTTGCAAGGTCCCAAGAGGGCTCATTTGAATCTTTTTACAAAGCCCGTTTTTCATTGCTCTTATTTGCTTAGAGATTTAGAGTAAGGAGGGGGAATGGGCAAAGAGAACACTTCTGGGTGATGTAGTTTTGCAAACCACAGCCCTTTCTCACCCTACCTTTTGCACAATCCCTACACGTCACTGGACAGTGCTGTGGACTTGAGTCTCTTAAACCAGTCCCAACCCTTGCAGAAACGACACACAGGTGCCTGCCATGCTTCCTCAAGTGAGACTGGGCTCCTGGGGCCGTTTACCACCATCTGTCCTCATCCTTGGATCAAGGCGGTGAAACCTAACCCAAACACGAGGAGACGGGCCGAAAGAACCCCAGTCCACTGCTCTGGAGACAGGAGACTTTGCTGGTCTCCTAGTTACCCCACCACACACAGACCTCCTACAGTACTAACAGTAACCATATGCCTTGTATCTTTTCTGTTAAAGGCAGATGATCACCCTGTAGTCCAAACTGGCCTATAACTCAGGATCCTCTTAGAATCAAGTCAATTTTGTGTGTGTGTTTCTTTCAGTTAAATTGAGAGTACCCTGAGGGCGGGGGTAACAGGTTTAAACTTGTGTCTTTAATAGCTACCTTGGTTTCTGGCTCTCTTTGGATCCTTAAGAAACCTGTTGTCTGAGGGGAGTTAATTAAGGCCTTTGTTTTTGTTTCCTTTATCTGGAAGTCTGCAGGCTCTGGCTAGGTCTGATAAGACACTAGACTGGAGCCCAGCAGGGTTTTCTGACCTTGCTCACTCTGAATCACCCAGTTAAGAGTCCCATCCTGGCCGACTCAATCAGCAGGGAGGCACCTGGGAACATGTCCGTTTCTTTTGTGATGAGGGTGATTGTTTGGTTTTGCTGAGACAGAATCTGCCATGTAGTCCACACCAGCTTTGAATTTGTGGCGATGCTCCTGCCCCAGTAAGGGTAACAGGCCACCACAGGCTCATTTAGGAAGCAGGTCCTTCAGGAGCAAAACATTTTGATAAATATTACAAGTGGCTGTTTTGGGCTAGGCTCCTCAACCAGGTCCCAAGAGCCCAGATGAGTATCTAAAGCACTCACATTGCAGCTCACCATCAGGTTAACCTTATCTGACCTCCAGGGAAGCCGAGAGAGCAGCCCCAGCCTCAGCGTGTCTGAGCCTATGGGACTGGCTCTTGGCCACAGGCAGATTTGATTTTGTTTTGTCTTAGTCCCCCTTACGAGAAAAGTAACTTTGAAATGACCAAACTCCTCCTTGTCCCTCTCAAATTTGTAACCCCACAGTCTTTGCTCGGTTCCCTCCAACAACTTACTCTATTTTATGCTCGAGTCTACAACCACAAATGGGGCCAATGAAGATCTTTAAGTTGTAATTTTGAAGTTCTGGGGGGCATGGTGCTAGGCATCAGATCTAAGAGCTCATGCATAATAAACATACTGCCTGCCACTGAGCTACATCCCCAGGCCTTTAAAAATTTTTTTTCTTTCCTTTCTTTTATTCATTCATTTTTGGTTTTTCAAAACAGGGTTTCTCTTTGTAGCAGACTGTCCTGGAACTCACTCTGTAGACCAGGCTGGCCTCGAACTCACCGAGATCCACCTGCCTCTGCCTCCCAAGTGCTAGACTAATGGCCACCACCGCCCAGCTCTTATTTAGTTTATGTGCATTGGTATTTTGTCTGCATATATGTCTGTGTGAGGGTGTTGGGTTCCCCTGGAACTGGACTTATGGACAGCTGTGAGTTGCCATGTGGGTGCTAGGAATTGAACTCACATCCTCTGGAAGAGCAGCCAGTGCTCGTAACTGCTGAGCCATCTCTCCTGCACCCGCTTCGGCCCCTTTTAAGACAGGCTCTCGTTATGTAGCTGTGGTTGACCTGGAACTCACAATGTAGACCAGCCCAGGCCTTCTGAGTTAACCCCAAACTCCTGGGATTGAGCAAGCACTACAATAAGCAGGTTTACTGAGCTATTACAGATGCTGGCAGGAAAATAAAGAACCAGGGTCTGGGATAAGTTCCCACAGCCAGCAGCAGCAGCGCTCCAGAGCAATAGGAACAATCAGACCCAGGGCTGAGGGGATTTTTACAGAGTATTCTTTCCAGTATTTTTCTTTTTTGGGGGGGGGGGGGGTTCGTGTGTGTGTGTGTGTGTGTGTGTGTGTGTGTGTGTGTGTGTGTGTGTGTGTATGCATGGGTGTCCTTAGAGGCCACTGGATCCCTTGGAACTGGAGTTACAGGAAGATCTGGGCCTCTATAGGAGCAGTAAGCACTCATAATCATTTCTTTTCCAGACAAGTTCTCAGAAAGCCCAGGCTAGCCTCAAACTCCGTAAGTAGCTGAGGTGACCTGGAAGTCTGGATCCTTTTCACCTCCCAAGGGCTGGGCCTGCAGGTGTGTGCCATCACGCACAGAGTACTTTTATAAACA